TGCTCAACAAACTGAGGCATAGGTGAAAGTTCATGTGATCGATAACAAACACCCAGAATAAGGTTTTGCAATGATGGTAGACTAATGTTAAAATAGTACGTTTCAAATTCAATATCTTCTAGGTCGAGCAAGCGTTTAACTTTGACATCTTTCCTGGCATATAACATGACGCCGCCTCCCCTCGTCAATCTATCTCTACGATAGGATTCATAGCCTGGTACTTCAAAAACACTGTCGGGGTATGAAGTGCTCAGCCAAGTTTCTGTTACAGCAATTATTATGGGTTTTGTTGTTGAAATATGAGCTTGTAAAAGATCAAACTTAGTCGCATGTTTGGTAACTTTTGTGGTCATACTGTTACAATTTAAAAAGAGCACTCGCGCAAAGTCAGCCTGATGTCTTTTTTTTTTTTTATCAACCATTATCAAAGTGAGCATTGTCACACTGATAGAAACGATGAAGATCACGTGTAGCTCTCTGTACCCTCCTTTCCTCCGTAAAACACAGTAACAACAACAAGTAATAGAACTGACTGTTAACATACTTGAATAAGAGTTTCTTTCTTATCATCTTTAGTCTATTTTTCTTCTTCCTCCCCATCTATAAGTAAATCAACAATTGAATGAAATCAGTGGAATACACTTGGGCAGGTTCCCTCGTTAGTTCAAACGCAGAAGGAAATTAAGAAACAGGGAGATATGTTCTGGAAAGACCATATTCCTTTCTATGTCATCAGTCTTTCGTCCCATCCTCCTACATTTTGCTATTAACGTCTAAAAACTATAAAATACACTTAGTTTAATGAACTCGAAACACAGAATTATTTCGTTCTGCTAGATCCTCATTACCAACTGAGAAAAATACTGATTGTAAAAGAAATGGATGAGTTTATTAGAAAAGCTCTAGGTAAAATGTTAACTCTCATAACTGATTTAATTAAGGTTCATTCAATTATCCATCAATTTGTTGAGATAGTGCAGTGTATTTTTAAGAATAAGTAGACCACGAATTTATATATAGGCAGGACGTATAGGTAGTTAAATGGTTAGATAGGTAGATAGATTTGCAGGTAAGTTAATGGATATAGTAGTGGAGCTATCTATCTGCGTATCAATCATCAATATTATATGAATGGCTTACACGAACAAAAGTATCATGGGAAAAACAAATCAAAAGGGGCATAGACTTAGAGAGAAAAAATAATTTATTAAAATACAGTGAATTTCTATTGAAGTTAGCTTTAAAATGAGATGTGTATACTATTGTAAGGCCAATTTGACTTTTAATCTACGTTCAGAATAATTGTAGCGATGGGTTTAAATTTGCTGAAGAGATGATTTGTGAAAGTATTAACAGTTGTCAAAACACGGTTGGAATTATCTTTTTGTGGATCTACTGCCATTCCCGATTTTAATACTCCAACCTTGCTCTTCCTTCCCAAGTAACTGCCCATGACCCGTGATTGACTAATTATTAAATGTATCCACACGTAATCATTAGTCTTTAATTATAAATGCAATGATGCTAAGGCTTACACCCTCGGACAAAGGCCTTTTCTCCTCTTTGTTTTTATGCTGTTATAATTTGCATCAAATTTATTATCGAATAGAAATATGACATAAGAGTTTTTTTTCAGTATGATCTGTAACTAAACAAAAACATATAATAATTCAAGATATCATAGATATTGATAAGACAGAGAAGAGGAACAGCATATCGGATAATTGTTCCCATTGAATAATTAATCAAACTGTCTTTTGCTTGATAGTGTAACGTTCTTCCATGGGATGAGGAGTGTTAACGGCTACACAGCCGTGAACAGTTGATTTCCTTTCTTTCGTTTTTATTTTCGAGACGTTTTCCAGTCATTTAATGACCATATAGAAATAGATAGCCAATTACGCAATAATACGGACGCATATTTTTCTCGTACTGTTTGACTGTACCAAATAAAAGAAAAAATGATTTATGTTTAGTGTAAAAATCGTTCAATATTTAAGAGTCCTCAAATTTTGCATTAGTTCGTATCCTCGTGTACCCCAAGGACGAAAATAAGGGCGCCCTATAATAAAAATATTTAGTCGAATGGAGAATAGACTCTTCTCAAAGCACAGTAATTTATTTCAAATACGTAAAGCTAGCACCAGGTTCGAGTATTTTAACTTCAGATTCGCCAGCGAACGGGTCAAATACAACAAAGTTTTCTGAAGTTCCCTAGAAAAAACATAGTTTTCAACTTAATATGTGTATTTGACATGGCTGCTGTAAGGAATTAATATGGCTTTGTGACAGAAGTATGGTCTCACAAAAGCCAACTGAACAAGCTTTTGGAAAAAAAAAGAACAAGCTCGGAATTCCAAACACAAATGCATAACCCTGAGTGAGACACGCTTTCATGGCGTATAATTCAGTATCGACGGATATCTTCTCAGATACGACATATAAAACAACAGATACGACAGATAAAACATCAATAAAAATAAACGTTTCTTTTCGTAACTGTATTGACATAAACGTGATATGCTTGACGTTTCACTTCATTGAGCTGCAAGTAATATTCAAGCAATAGTTTGTAATAATAAGAGGTCTGAGTATGTAAAGACAACTTCACGCTAGTCGAGTGGTATAAAATATTACGATGAAAAATTAGCCGAAATCATGAATGCAACGTTAAATTCCACAAATCTTTCTTCTGTCCAGGAATTTGGCAACTCAGAAATGCCACGACGGGTAGATCTACGAGATATGATGACACCGGTTCAATCACAAGGAACACTACAGTCAAGGTAAGAACCCGATTTTGTTTATTCGTTAATCATATTTGTCTTTTATCCTTCTAGTGTTGCATGCGCTTTAGCTGGTAAGGCGACGGGGAGCTTTTCATCGATATTTTCACTCTTACTTTTGTGCTCGTAGCTGCGTGTGGATTTTTGATAATGAAAAATAGTGACAAACACATTGATGTTAGTCGATTGTTTATTTATTACAATGGACGAGAGAAAGAAGGAAATTGCTACGAAGATGACGGAACAACAATTGTGTTAGCCGTCGAAGCTCTAGAACAGCTTGGCTGCTGTGAGGAATCAACATGGCCTTATGACCCAACTATGGTCTTACAAAAGCCTACGGAACAAGCTTACAAAGAAGCTATGAGATATCGCGTATCTGAGAAGATATCCGTCGATACTGAATTAAACGCCATGAAAGCGTGTCTCGCTCAGGGTTATCCATTTGTGTTTGGAATTCAGTTATTTGAATCATTTGGTCAAGCAGATGACCCTGAAACGAAGAGAAAGGTTCCTCTACCCCAAGAAAATGAAAAAGAAGGTTCGAATGGTCTTTGGTGGCACGCAATGTTAGCAGTGGGATATAGTGATCGATCCAGATGTTTTATTGTCAGAAATTCGTATGGTGACAAATGGGTCAGTATAAACTAACATATGAGAGTAGTCGATCACAGTTCTAATTCGTTTTATTATGTCTGTTATAGGGTGATAATGGCTACTGCTATATTCCATATGACTACATGAGCAATCCAAAACTTTGTTTGGAGTCATATAGCCTTCGAGCCCTCAGCGACGACCGTGTCCCGTATCTCACATCGACTAGCTCAAAAATTTCTTCAGTTATGACACAGCCTACATCTACTATCGCAACCGATCAGGTGAAAGGTGAGGGAGAGTTTTCATATTTGACCTGTAAGACATATTTTCACTATTTCCCGCGAGCTAATGGGTCTGTAACTACGCTTGTTGAACGCTCGATACTCTCTGTACTGGTATACTCAGTGATCCCTTGTCTCGCAAGAAGCTTGTATTAAAGACTGTCTGGGCTGACTCAATAAGCAACGATGTAAGCGAGTCATACGAATAGAAAAGATTAGGAAGACTCACCGAAGATATGATAGTAGTTTCTGTGTATCCAGATGTCAAAAATTATCGGATCCGATTCGTCTTCTTGTATGGGTCCGTGTTCTGACTGCCTTTGGTTTTACCTATAGGTCCGCCTGCTCAAACTAGTCCTACTGCATGCAGTCGTTTTTATACTGCTTGTCGAAATAATGACATTGAACTGGTTAAAGAATTTCTAGAAACGATTACACCGGAAGCCATCGACAAAGTTGAGCCAAATGGTTCAACAGCACTTCACGCTGCTTCGTACCTAGGTCATCAAGAGATTGTTGAACTGCTTCTACAAAAAGGTGCAAATCCGGCAATAATCAACAAATATAACTGTACACCGTTAGAAGAAGCAAAAACAGATGTAATTAAGCAATTGATCACTCGTCGAAAAACTACACGTTTTTGTAGTGTAACGGTTGAATGGATTCTAGCCACAAATGATGCTGACTATCAAGCACATGAATATTGGAAAAAGCTGGAAACATATGGTAAAGACCCAAAATTCTATCAATTAATTAATTATATAAAACAGCATTACATTCAAAAAGACCTGAAAGAAATTGATGGTATCGATAGTATTAAGCAATATTTTGACCATGCTGTTAACGAACGTGATCCCCTGTATTTAATTAAAGCATATACAGCTGAAACCGGTTTCTACTCTACCCTGAATGTCAATCTTGCTCAATTACATCTTAAAAATTTAACAACTGAAGGCAACATCAGTCTAGCCTATCTCATCGGTATCATAGCTCGTCATCCAAAATTTGACGAACTGTCATATGTTGGGACAACATATCGTGGTATGTTGATTACAGGTGATGATTTAAAGCAATACAAAATTGGCACACGTATATTAACGAAAACGTTTTCATCTACGTCGAAAGAAATGTCGATTGCACGAAGATTTCTCAGTAGTTCTGTTGGTGATGATAGATTAAATGCAATTTGCACCTATACAATAAGAAACCAACGTACAGCATTAAATATAGAAGAAATATCTGTATTTAAACGTGAACAAGAAGTAATAATTCTACCATATTCAGCATTCAAAATAATCAACATTGTACAAAATAAATCACAAGCTGAAATTAAACTGAAAGAATGTGAACCATGGGATTGATTAATTTTTTAAATAAATCACAAAACGAAACGGCAAGTTTCCTATACGAAAAAGAAACGACTCATCTAGAATCCCAAGCTTATGGTTTATTCACAAGTTCACAAAACTGAAACTCGTACAATTTTCTTATTCAAATTATTCTCTCTACCCACATCTCGCACAGTGAGCGACAACCTATAGATTAGGCAGCCAGAAATTGACGGGACCTGTTTTCAGATTGAAAAAAATTAATTTCTTAGTAAAGAAGCAAAATTTCCCAGAAGTGTTGCATACTTTTGTAGTCGCAGTGACGTCGAATCCGATGGCATTGCCATCGGAGTTCTTAATGGAAAAAACTAGATAGGTTTGCGAGATGGTCCGGTGGCATCTTCGAGCGTTTGCTCCCGATTAACACACACCCATTCCATCTCACGCTCAAAAAATCTCAAACACAGCTCTTTCAACCCAGCTTTTGGTGCTGAATTCGAAAAGGCCGATTTTAACTTTTCAAAGCAATTGCGATGCCCGGAAAATCAAGTTTTGAAGTTGAGTGCTCAGGAAAACTAGAAAATGCATTTTTGTTTGCTGAATTTACAGAAAATGTTTAGGGATCGTCTGACAAGGCGGGCGATTTGATTTATTGGAAAGTCATTCTAACAAATCGATTTTCCAGAAAATTAGTTCGAATTTTTAGAAAATCAAACCCGATGCTTAGAAAGGCGATCTATGTATGTGACTGAGCAGATCCAGAATTTGCATATATCTTTCTATGTACAAATTTCAGACTGATTTGACTCGCTTATCATTCAAATTATTTACTTTTTATTGTGAAAAATTTATACCGTCAATTAATCCTGGAAATATTCTATCCTTAAAAGTTGGACACGAATATCACAGAGGTCAAGCGTTGCTGTTAGCGAATATTGTTCAAACAAAAACAAATTCACCATTGAAAATGGTATTTTGTAATTTGAGTGCGCTTTACCTTTATAATATAAGTCAACATGAATCTGATTTGTTCACATCGACAGAATTATTTGAAAACTTGAACGACTTGATAATCATAATGGAAAATAAGAAGAAGACCACTTGTTTATCATTAGAATCTATCTTTTCAAAACAACGGTAATCCTGTTTTGTTTGAATCAGTCTTCATCATACCTAAAAAGTGCCAAATTTCCGTACCGTTATGAGCCAGTTTGTATAAGAAACATTAGATAGTGCTCGATGGACATTCACAAAAGTTTGAAAAAGTTATCTGATCATGTAGAGCAAACATTTTGATGAACTTTGACGTTTTCCATTCGTTTTGACAAAAGTTGTTTCCCGACTGAGATATAGCGGTTTTGCCAAAACTCTAAATTAGCCGTTTTTTTGTTGCAAACCACTATTATTGCCATATCTTTCAAATGGTAAATAATTATTTCCTCAAGATTTTATTATAGATACTAGATATTATTGTCTACAAAATAAAACGCTCGCAAGCTCTGGAAAGTTCAGGAGATATAATTGACAAGAAATTTCATTTTTCGCCGTTTTTAAGCACGGTTGATGATTTTCTTTGCAAAGTTTGAAGAGCAGAAGTGTAGAGCACAAGTTGATGTAGTCATCCTGTATGAGAATTCTTTAGCAATTGTTGGGAAGGAGTCTAACCGAGACAAAACGGTCAATTTTCTTGCTCCGATCGTGCTATTCGACATAGCTTAATACACTCTGATGAAAACCTGAAAAGAATTTTGACAAACAAATGCTTTCATGTCGCCTTTCTTCTGAATTTAATTTTATATGGCATAAATAGTGGTTATTCAACGAAAAAACGGCCAATTTAGTTTTTGGCAAAATCGCTATATCTAGAATCGCTATACAGTCGGGAAACAACTTTTGTCAAAACGAACGGATCAAAATAATTGCTCTAATATGCTTTAAAATTGCCAGAGGTTATGAGGTATAGATTTCATGTCAAATACTTCCAGATTCTCTCTTTTAAGTTCTATTAAAAAGTCTTTTCTTTCTTCGCACATAGTATCAATAACAGAGATCGAATCGGGTCTTACATGGACGACCCGACCCGAATCAATATTTTTATATTAACCCGAACCCGACCCGAAATCTTCAAAACTGGACCCGAATGACCCGAAAATTTTTCAGATTTCCAGCAAGATTCCCGGTACAAACTTTACTCCTTGTTCTTCTTCCCGAAAATTTTCTGCAACTTGCAAATCTTTTAATAATATTTGTTGGTTCATCGATTACCTCTGCAGGAAGACCGAATATCTTCCAACAGTTACTACGAACACCCCTTGGATTATTAACAACACCCGATTGTGTAGATTTTAATTTCAAGAGTGTAGCTAAAACAGCAACATACAAAAATCACCCAAGCTTTAATTAGCGTGAAGATTAAACGAGAGAATCGATTGCGCTTCTAATTCCCTAATAGTTACTTAATAGAAGAGCTACGTACTTATTTTGGATGAAGTATAGTTAAATTCATTAGAAGCCATTTTTAACAAAAAAAGCAGTGTCTTCGACTAACTGTCTATCAATAAAGGTAAAAGAATTCAGTT